TGAGCATGTACCTTTGCCAATGAACTCCTTCAATGTGAATAGTGAACTGAAATGTGTTAACTCACAGTCGTCGCTCACGGGTCCAGCAGAACACTGTGCTGGAGGGTCTCTTTGCAGGTCCTGCAGCTCCTAATCAAAAAACACACACACAATACTGCTGTCAGTCATTCAGTGGATGATTTGCATTGCAGCATTTGACTTTAATTTCATTACACTGCATGGCCAATGACTATAGTTACTCCTTAACAAAACACAACCTCCACTGATTACTTTTCAACTCATTAATTTTGTTTATTAATTGTTCCAAGAAATGAATGGATCTGATATCAGCATCATTTCAGTTCCTCAATGAAGGTACTTGACGTCACTTGCTGACAATTTCACGTTTAAAAAACACTAAAACAACAGTTTCCGAATTCAAATTGTAAACAGGATTTGTAAAACGGAGCTAGTAAAACCAATTTGTAGTCCATTGCGTACTACTACGCAGTACACGTAAGCTTCCAAAATATAGCTAATTGTTGTTGATGACAGATACCTGAAGCTTGATTTTCAACTTTCCGAGCAAAAGTGGTCCAACAGGAACACTTGGAGGTATGTGTCAATTGTGCATAGCTTAGCAAGCTAACCCGAAACTTTGAAGTTGACATTGTCTGCCTCGTCTGTTGTCGGCGGTGTCAACAAACAGATCATTTCTAAAACCGTTACTGAGTTCTGCACCACCTCTTTAAATGCCGGGAAAGCCAGAAAACATTAGTAACAGCAACTCTGTCCAATCATGAGCCTTCGACGGTCCATTTATCTGCCGCTAGCAAAGCTAGTCAGTTACCTTATTTATTCTCTTCAGTGCCATGTTGACTGGTGTAGCCGAACTTCAAAATACTTCGTGTCACTTTTTTTCCCCGTTTCAATTTCGGTATAGATGCTGTCACAATCAGCAATTACAGTTCATTTCCTTGCCCAGCAGCCGGTTTACGGTTTGTGAATTTATGAGAGCTCTTTTGTTTCCGCCTTCAGTTTACGGTGGCGAGACCGCGGAGGATTATGGGAAATGGAGTTTACGAGCTCCCACCGGAAAACGAACACACGTTGACGTTTATAATTGTGATGCAGCATTGGCGTTTAAATTGCAATGGTTACTTTACATTGTGCAGTGTAAGAATACCCTATCAAGTGTAACTACTGATAAATGAGGAACTATATTTCCCGTATGATATAAATTAGCACGTCTGTAAATCACATTACATAAAATATATTGTGATTTACATAAGCAGTACAGTACATAGTGGGATTATGTAACAAAGGCAATTTGCGATTGACAATGAACATGAGTAATTCACACAAACTGTAGTGAGATTAAAATTATTCTTAATGATGACAGTGATGCAACACTTATCAAAAAGAAAGCAAATATCACCATTTATGCAGGGAACACAACACTGACTTGCAGTATTGTCATCCGAGTGTCGTTTTGAAGGCCCTTCCAGCAATATGACCAATAAAACAACATGAACTGGGATGTAAATTTTCTTAATACTTTGAGCAGTTCAAAATTCAAACAACATGACACGATTTAACACAATGCTGTTGTCTTCAAGAAACCCACTTGAGAAGTATTTTGAACTCTGAGAGGAAATATTTAAATGATCATTTTTACTGAATTTTGGAGCTACTCTTTATGTAATGCCAGATAGGAGCATGCAAAAACCTCATTATGTTGTGATGGACAAATGCATACAGTACACTCCCTGTCAACTGTGTTTACTCATTATCTTTGTTTGTGAAATTTCATCCCAATTAGAGTGGATTGCATTTCAAACAGATAAGTATAATTGCCCATGCAATTACAGAGGTGGACTCGTGTGGGAACATGGTAATTTGTGAGAAATGGGGTGAGATGAGTTATGCACTTTGTCAGGATGTTAGAACACTTTATCTTGTTTGAACAGCAGAAAGTGATTAGCTTCCACCAAGGCCAAAGGGACCAATTCAATGTTCAATTATTAACTAAAAGTTTATTATATCAAACACATCCCCCTTCCCAAAAAAATGTACCGGTACATATTTTTCCCTGCCCAATTTAGATTCAGAAAACTTTATTTATCTCTCTTGGGCGATTCTGAAAATAAAGAGGAAATGTTACTGTAGTTAAACAAGTTAGCAACATAAAATAAGTAAGGGCATGAATAAATACAAAGGGTGTGGGAGGAACAATCTACACAAGGTTTTACCTGTCATGTACTTTTAGATGTATTGAGAATACTGTATATACATTATTTGTACTGTTGGATACACATTATGTATTTATATTATCTCATTGATAGCAAGTTATAGATAGTAAGTTCTTTGTTGTATGCTTTATCTGTCCACATACATACAACCTGACAACATAAAAATACTCTATATACCATATTTTCCGCACTAAAAGGCGCACCTAAAAGCCTTCAATTTTTTTAAAAGCTCACAGCGTGCCTTAAAATCCGATGCGCCTTGTGTGGTCACTACGGTAATATTTCGACCCCAAAATGGTTCCTTGCTCGAAACATGCTGACAACGCAGAGTTCAAACTTAAGGCGATCGGTTACGCATTTGAACACGGAAATAGAGCAGCGGCAAGAGAGTTCAACGTTATCGAGTCAATGTTATAACTTGCTGTTGGTTAAGTGAACTGTGTTGCTGCTTTATTAAATAAGTTTTACTGATATCTGATCGTTTAGTTGGTGTTTCCTTGAACGTAGCTTTATCTAGTGGATGCATTGTAGATTGCTTCTTATGACGTGGTGCGCCCAATGTATGAAAAAAAAATTACAAAATAGGCCATTCATTGAAGGTGTGCCTCATAATCCAATGCACCTTTTAGTGTGGAAAATACGGTAATCTATTTTTCTCCATATAGGATATTTCGTGTTTTAAATTGAAAGTGATACTAGAAAATATCATTGTTAATTCAATGAATATGGTCGACAACTTTGAGATTGTTTGATTTGTCTGTGTATTTTGCACCACAACAGAACCGGTTTTAGGAAAAATATAATCGCACTGAACTGAAGTCCACAGCAGCCGTTACGACACAATCCACCTTATTCCTGAGGGCTCTCATGGGAGAAAGGATTATGTGCGCGACTTCCTGTATGACACTGAAAGTAGTACAAGAGCCATTTGTTACAGCGGCTTTCATTTCACAGAGCGGTTTTATTTGATTATTATTTTTTTTATCTTTTCTAAACGATCACAAGCCACCATAGCATTTTAAAATGACTTGCATAGTTTGCGAACTTGTTGCACTGTTGGCGGTTGTACAAGCAAGCAAAAGAAATTGAATCTGTGATCAAAATATTGGGGCAATATTTGCAACGGTTGAAGTTGACAAAAGTAGAGATAGATGTTCACATAAATTCTGGTGAAAAGTGATGGCAGTTTTGTAACATCAAGTAACATGAAGCTTTTTGACATGGAGTGTTAGACTGTCCGGGTCATGTGGTTGCCATTCAGTGGGAAGTAGTTTGTTTGGCTGGCTCCTACAGTAAAACTGTGTCCAACCTCTGAACAAAACACAAGCAACTTTATTGCTGTGGACATACTGCTATGTCTCTGAGCTTTTGAGATTACTCATTGCCTCACCGTCTGAAGCAAAAGAGTTCAGAATTAATAAACATGCGAGTGTTCGTTGTTGCTCGGCACTGGTTTTATGCCATCCTCTTACCCAGCTACATTATCAGAAAGCGGGTTTGAAATGTTTTCTCTTTTAAGATGCAACAACTGGCATTCTCACATTGTTTTAAGTCTGTAACTGTCATACAGTGTTTGTTTGTTTGTTTGTTTGTTTGTTTATTGAACATATAGAATATACAATACAATAACAGATTGACAAAAGTGAAGGCAAGTAAAAATTATAAAAGGAAAAAAAATATGGACTCGTGGACTCGTACAACCAATTATCATGTAAATCAACGGTCCCAACCAGTCCAACCAAGATTTTTTCTGTCTGTGTGCGACTGTGCGTGTTTTAATGTTAGATATATATGTGTTCGTATATACTGCACCCTAAGCACCTAATAGTTTAACTTTCACAAAAAAAACAAAAAACAAACAAACAAACAAACAAAGAGTAAAATAAATACAGTACGGGTCACCTTTAACCTACGGTGGCGCATGATCTGCAACACAGGAAGTTGTTAGCGGTCAGCAGTCTGCAATTACAGCTTCAAAGTTTGTTTCCTCAGCAATTCACCAAAGGCATTGTCAAAGAATGGGAATATCGAGTGCCAGGAGTAGCATTTTAAAACAGTACACCTGAGCTATGATCGTGATGTTTCTGCACTTAACAGCTACTCCCTAGCTTCCTGTGTTTGATATCCCACAAAGGAAGGCAGTGGTTTCCTTATTAAAAGCTGTTTTGTCTTTTATCTAGTTTATTTTTCTGTTTTCTTCATGTTTGGGTCCGTGATGGCTGTTGCTCATCATGGCATGTGTGTGTGCATGAAGATGCTCATGTGTTTGCGCCCATGTGTGGTCACGGGTCGATCACGGTAGGTTGGGAGCTTGAAAGATAGATCTGCGGTCAAAAAAGGTTGATCACCCCTGATGTAAACCAATCTCCGGTTCTGGGTTCCTATCAGAAGTCACACACATATTTCAGGCAAAGGCTCATGGGGCATAGGAATAAGGGGGTTACATACCTGGGTTTGTACTAATATATTAAATT